GAATGAGGATACCATTGGGGGTGGGTGATCGTTCTTTTGTTTTTGTTTTTTTTAAATTAACTTACTATATAAAAATGCAGAAAGAAATTAAAAGGGAAACATTGTCTTTTCAACTTTTTAGGACTAAAACCACGGGAAATTCCTAATTTTGGACCTTTAATGAAAATCGGAAACTTTTTAGACCATATCCATAGTTTTTTTCGAAACCACAAGGACCAATTTTGCAGTTTAGTTTTTTTTAATTAGAACTATACTTAAAACTGAAAATTGAAATAAAAATTAATAAAAAATTTAAAATATGGTAAAATAGTAATTTTAAACAATTATGAAACAAAATGAAACTACATCTACCAACCATGAAAGAAAATGAACTACATGGGCCAAACACATGGTGGTTTCCATAGCTGCCCCAAAATTTTTAAATATAGTAAACCCACAGAGCCAAATCGTATATATTTTTTAATAAATTAAGTCCCAAATACCGGTAATCGTATTCAATTTAACCCTTTGACCCGGTCAACAGGTCATCCAACTTTCAAAAATTATATTTTTAGTCCATATTTCAAAATTTATTACAAATTTGGTCCAAAATTTACACTTTTGGCCCAGATTTTAAATTTTGTTACAAATTTGGTCCAAACTTTACCATTTTTGTCCAAAATTTAGAATTTTAGTATGAATTCATCCTAACTTTAGTTTTTTTTACAACTTTTTTCTCAAAAAATTGTTTCTAATATGTTTTTTCTTTATAAAATCATACTTATACAAAAAAAAAAAACGTATTTTCACATAAAAATCTTATATTTCTATATAATTTTTTTTAAAAACTTTTTTGTATATGAAACATCTAGTTATAAAAATATGTATTTGTTAAGTATATAAATATATACAAATCCGTTCTTATAAAAAAATGTATACAAACACCTATCACCTTTTATATATATATATAATATAATATATATATAGAATTAGATATATATATATATATATATATATATATATATATATATGCAGGCAAATAGGTGTGTATCTATATTTTTTTTATAAAATCGTGTTTGTTTATATTTTTTTTATAAAAGTGTCTTTGAATAATTTTTTATATAATACGTGTTTGTATACGTTTATAAAATCGTGTTTGTATACATTTTATAAAAACGTGTTTGAATAATTTTTTATATAATACGTGTTTGTATATATTTTATAAAATCGTGTTTGTATACATTTTATAAAATGTATACAAAAACGTATTATATAAAAAATTATTCAAACACGTTTTTATAAAAAAAATGTAAACAAACATGATTTTATTAAAAAAAATATAGAAAAAATAGGTATTTGTATACATTTTTTTTTGTAAAATACGTTTTTGTATACATTTTTTTATAAAAACGGATTTGTATATATTTATATACTTAATAAATACCTATTTTTATAACTAGATATTTCATATACATAAACTTTTTAAAAAATGTTTTTATATAGAAAATATAAGATTTTTATGTGAAAATACGTTTTTTTTTTGTATAAGTATGATTTTATAGAGAAAAACATATTAGAAACAATTCTTTGAGAAAAAAAATTGTAAAAAAACTAAAGTTATGATGAATTCATAATAAAATTCTAAAATTTGGGCAAAAAAGGTAAAGTTTGGAGCAAATTTGTAACAAAATTTAAAATCTGGGCCAAAAGTGTAAATTTTAAACCAAGTTTGTAATAAATTTTGAAATCTGGGCCAAAAATATAATTTTTGAAAGTTGGATGACCTGTTGACCGGTCAGAGGGTTAAATTGAATACGATTACCAGTATTTGAGACTTAATTAAATAAAAAAAAAATATATAAGGACTAAATCGATTATGAGACCAATATGTAGGGACTTTATTGCAGTTTTTCCTAAAATAAAAATAAATAAAATATTAAGATATGAAAAGGACAAATGAAAAAGCAATTTCGTCATTCACAAGCATTTAAAAGGAGTTCACGTAACAACTTTGAGGACTACGCCTGCAACTTTTGGAAATCATAGGGATGAATCATGTCAAAAATTAAAAAGTTTGACTAAAAACGCATATGGGTATAAACCCCAAGGAGCAAAACTATAATTTACTTTAAATTTAATATCATTTTACAAAATATCATACAATTAATAATTGCTCTTTAATAAGGTATGTGCATAACAGCATTAATACTTTGCAATCATTTATTTTTGTAATCTTTATAGATTGCTATTAGTTTTTACAATGACATGGCATGTCGTTTTCTTATAACAATTTTTTTTGAATAGTTTATACTTTACATAATATAATCTCTTTAGAATGTTATATCAACAATAAAACACGTAGTCTTTTCATGTAATTACGCGTCGAAGAAATACAAAGTCTCTATGACTATCTTATAGGTTTAGATTAAGTGAAGATTGAAAAAGAAAACAAAAGAGGTCAAGGTAACTTACGAAGGAAACAATCTCCAACCACTTGGATAACTTGTGCATATATGGTAAAATCAGGGCGGATCCAATTTTCAAGGGGTAGCTCGGGATACCCTCAAATCTTTTCGACAGTGTGATTTTTTTAGGAAAAATTTCGTTTTATGTGGTGTATATTATATATACGCATCCCTTCCTTTATAAACACAAACAAACAGTTGATCTACTGGTTAAGGTGATGGCTTATTGAATCAAAGGTCTCAGGATTGATGTTCCCTTCTTACATATCCTTTGTTTACCTTTCTTTTATTCTTTTGTTTACCTTTCTTTTATTTTCGCAGCTATTAAATCCCACATCGCCAAACACACGTAAACTCAACCATTTTTGTCTACTATATAAACATTTTATTCTCATGTTTGATTTGATATCTATTTTGAGTCTCACATCAATTCAAGTATCAAAAGATACTTCAACTTCATGTTTATATGATAAGACTTGAGGTTAACTAAGAATTTGATTAAGGTTTGAGATATCATTTCACTTTGACCTGGCTCTGCCACTGCGTAAAAGAAGTTCATATTGTAAGGTTACCGAAGTGGTTATTAATTTTAATATGAAAAAATGGTAGACTGCATTATCTGTAGGTCAATCACGAAATCCTATTAATATTTTTGAATGTGTCAGGTTTTTGATCCTGGATCTCTTGTGTGGAATTTCACTCATCAATCACTAGATTCTCGTCACGGTGACTAATTTAATATGTTAAACAATATTTAAACAAGATGACCATCAAAGTTTATTGATTTGCATATGACTCTTAGAATGATGCTTAGAACCCATTTGGTGTGTAATTTTATCGTAAATTTATCTGAAAAAGATGTCAATATAGTAAATTTTGAGTCTTGAAAATGAAAAAACTTCTCATCTCGCACCAAAGTTAAACTATTGTGAAATGAGGAAGGAAAAAGAGAAAGGATTCCAAACTTGTTAATCTAATATCGAACATAATTAAAATTATACACTAATTAAGAATGTACTCAAATTTCGTTTAAATTGTTTGATTTTGATTTGAAACTTTTTCTTACTACTATTTACAATGATCCTAACAAAAAGTATGTTGTATTTTTATAAATTGGTTTTACAAATTAGTTTAATACAATAATAAAAGAAGAATGTAGGTATATAGGAAGTCAAAAGTCAAAGGGAAATTAGGAAGTAGAAGAGTGGAAGAAAGCATTATTTAAAAAAAAGGTATAAAAAATAAAATATATGGTGGGCCAGGGGTAACGTGTCAAACATAGATGACTCCTATTGGCCTTTTTACGAAATTGGGGCCTAACTTCTACTTACCACGTGGTTTACGTTGCGTCCCACGCTCTCCTCTATCTCCAGTTTTTGCCCACGTGTTTTTTATTTATTTATCAACTTCAATTGATTAGAAACATAATAAGTTTAATCACCTTGAACCTCATAAAAAATGGAGGTTTCTACCAAGAAACAAGTGCTTGAAAAGTTAGTTATCAAGACACTGTGTTGATAGTTTAATCACTAGGAGGAAAACTAGCGAGTGGTTAGTTAATTTTTTTTTAAAACCACAAATTAGCTAATTTATTCTTAAATATTATTTATGTCTTTTAAAAGGCTTGAACTCATGATCTCTCATTTAAAAAAGTCAATTCCTTACCGTTAGACCATAATTGTTATACATCTTCAACACCTTGCTATTTAGATTAGTTTAAATTAGTGTCAATTTTTATCATATTTTTTTTGTTGTGTCATAACTGAATAACTGATACACATCTTCGACACATTGTTATTTAAAGCATGGTTACAAAAGTTATATATATATATATATACTACAAGAAAATTTGAATTTAGCTACAAAAATATTCCGTAGTAAAAAGCTAAAATTCCGTAGCTAAAGCTAAATAACTATGAAATTTGCTACGTAAATTTTCAATTAGACTCCATAGCTATATTTCTTGTAGCAAAATGTCTAGCTACGGAATTATAATTCCATAGCAATTTTGTTATGACGGTTTCTACGACATCTATTTCGTAGCAATTTGAGTTCCATAGCTTTTTCATAGCAATTTCCGTAGCAATGTTTCCATAGCCAATTCCATAGCGATTTTTTCGTAACCAATTTCATAGCGAATTTTCCATAGCAAATTCCATAGCGATTTTTCCATAGCAAATTTCATAGCAATTTTTCCATAGCAAATTCTGTAATAATGTTTCCGTAGCAAATTTCATAGCAATTTTTCCGTAACCAATTCCATAGCGATTTTTCCATAGCAAATTCCATAGCGATTTTTTCCGTAGCCAATTCCGTAGCAATTATTTCATAGCAAATTTCGTAGCAATTTTTTCGTTGCCAATTCCGTACCAATTTTCCCATACCATTATTCAGTAAAATTCGGTTATTCAATTCAACTATTTGTATCAATTTATAAAAATACAATTAATATAAAACCAAAATAAGAATATTTTTATAAAAATTAAAAGAAATATCCAATACATCAAAATATAAATGTTGCAAAATCAAAACTCGATACAAATTAAACATAAAACATTATACGATAGATAATATTCTATCATTGATTAATAAAAGCATTGCACTTTCACCGATCTCCTTTATATCATCTTCTTCCATTGCAATTTTCTCAGCTTCATTAAGTGTCACATTTTCTCCATTCCCAACACCATCTGAATGTTCCTTGCAGTCTTTAGCTAAGTGTCCATTTTTACCCTTGTAGCATCTTTTTGGAGCATCTTCATTCCTTGTTGCAACCATTCAAACAAACACACATATAATTAGATAACATAAGATGAGTATTTTGGTAATTTGTGCAGATGGACTATTACCTTCTAAAGGTTTCAACTCTTTGCTTGTAGCTGTAGTTATCCCTTCGGTTTGTGCCTCTTGTTCATTCACTTTAGCTTTTCCAGCAGACTGCAGTGTTTTTTATGGTAAAATGAAATCATTATTTTACGACTTTTATAAAGTTTTATTAAATCATAAAATACTGATCGCAAGTAAATCCATACAGATTTTTCTTTCTTCATCTTGATCAGTGTATTTTTCTTTCATCTTTTTAAGTTTACCGTTTTGCCCTCGGTTCATTTTCCCACCACCATTTACACTCTGATCAATTCTCTTTCAGTGGATGATTTACAATTTCCTTTTTCTTTTCCACTTCTTTTTTTACTTGACCATCGTCTTCGCCTTCAATATGTGTTTGACCTTTTGTCAGCTTTCTTCTTTCAGTTTTTGAAACATACGATTTTTCCCTCACTGTTCCTTTCTTCTTTTCTTCGTTATTTTTTTTAGACTGCATTTCTAAAGCTTGAAGTCCGTATTTTTTCCGTCCTCTTTACCATTTACTCTTCTTTCATTCAGATGAGACCCCAGTGAGGTTTCATCCAACCGGAATAGAATGCCAAATGTCATGATTAGGAGATGCTTTGCTGACCTGATGAGGGTATACCCACCATGCACTAGTAACAATCTTTGAGTTCCATGCTTGACTATGGAAGACCTACATCATAATTCCCAAAATACTCTCTTCTTAAGAACGTGCAAAATACCAAATTTTATAGCTTATCAGTTGTTACGAACTTACTGTGAAAGAACCTGCTTGATTTAGTGTAAGAGGCTTCAATGGAAATGTATGCAACCATTTCAGTTGACATCCTAAAAAACATGAAAAAGTTAAATATGGCATCAAAAGACTGTAACTGGTTAATGGTTTAAACAACAAAAGTACAAATATATTCAAGTATACTACATTTTTTGTCCTTGTGCTAAGTAATTTTCTTTAGTTTTGATCCAAAAAATAATCATTTTATAACTTCTGGTCCTAATTTTCAGTTTTGATTCGGCTTTGGTCCCTCTCGATTCATACTATGAGTTTCAGTGTATGGGCTTAACGCACCAAAACAGAATTAAACATGAAAATTTAGAGAAAAAAATATAACAAGACACATTCTTGAATCAAAACTAAACAGAACAACTAAGCGAATGGACCTAAAATATAGTTTATTTAATAGAGGAATAGTGAAATGGGAACTTACATGTGCAAGTTATTATTCCAGACATCCCATAAGCTAGGTCCAAGCACGTCCATGACCTTCAAAAAAATTATAAATGTTAGCTAGCATCCAATAAGAGTGGACATTGTACAAAAATTGAACTTAAATATGTACCATTATGTAGTATTCACCTTGCCTACCCTTAAAATGTACACGTGGTATACCATGACTTCCACCAAGAGCACTGAACATTAGATCAATAAATCATTCAATATAGCTACTTAAAAACCAAAAATGTCAAAGCATATAAATTTTCAAATTTTAACGCAACCTTCTGTACATGGTTATCAGGCTTGTAATTTTTAATCATAGTACTAGAAGCTCCATGTAGTTCTACATGGAGATACCTGTTTTTTCATCATCAAAAACTTTAAAATCAGCATAAAAAGTTATCAACAAATAGCATAGAAACAATATATACTCACAAATCTCCTTTGGCATGTACGTTTGACTATCATTTCATTGTGTTGAGTATCACGTCCACTAATAACCAAATAATTCTCACTTCTTGTAAACCAATTGAACTTTTCAAACAAGTGCACTTCTTATAAACGAATCTATATGAATAATCTCATCATCCACAGACCAAATTGATAAAACCATAGGACAATAACGTCACTAAATTCCTAAAACTTCATTGATTTTTTCTTGACATTTGAAATGAAATCCAATTTATAGAAAATAATAAAATAATATAGAAAATGAATGAATAGTTGCATACCAATGCCCATCTGTTGAATCCCATCATTGAAAATATTCAATCAATGAACAGGTAATGAAAAACCTATCTAAGTTTTATAACATCTCAAAACCAATATCATTTGAAGTTGTGAATACGGTGAGCATCAGAATATATAACGAGAGATGTTTTCCTACATGAATAAATGTTCAGTGTGTAGTATAAGATTAATGTGTAACATCATTTTCCTTCTGTATCCAACAAAAGAGAGTGAAAACATGATACAAAAGTACAATTTAAGAAAGGTTTTGGCACCAGATAATAGCCATCAGCTGGTTGTTGTTCTGTTTGACCAACTAAAGATAGTTAAGCGTATATATGTTTTTCTGACCCTTGATTTCTCTTTGTCGATGCATTACATTGTTGTTTCGTGAGTTTCTTGTGTTAGGTAGTAAGTACTCACTTATTATGTATGCTTGATCTCCTTAATGACATATTCGTTTGGCACTAGGCATAATCGAAATTCTATAGCCAAGAAGAGAGATTTACCTGAAGTTGAGACTCATATGCTTAAGATGTGTGAATTGAGAGAGCGAGATCAGAAGAGGAGTGAAGATAGAGATCGAACTACAAAATAGAAACATGAAGACTTACTTGAAGTTAGGGTTGTATCGAAAATGTATTACTAAAAACTAGTACTATTTTGCTTGATTTAGTGGTTAATCACACAGGTTTTAAGAAGCAAACAGAACAGAGAAGAAGGTTACCTGGTAGGGACGAAGACGATAGAGAATTTGAGAGCAATAGTGGCGAAGAGGAGTAGGACGACACACAGTGAACACGAAGTCGACGAGGATCATCAATCGAGAACGACCTATCGATTGACGGAGTATGCGGCGAAGGCAGAGCAGACAAGAGGAGTGAAAGGAGCTCCCTACACCACAGAGGACGTAGAATGAAGCCAGGTCGATAATTTGGGGGCGGAACACATAAGGTTAGTCTAATCGATAATGGCGTTAGTGGAGACGGGGGATTATAGGGCTCAACGGTTCACTATCTCCAATTCTCCACAATAAAAAAATAGGTATTAATTTTATTTTTGGGACTTCGTGAAAAATGGTTTTTGTCTTGATTTACAAATAATACTTCCATTTATGTTTCATTTTAATCGAGTCAAGAGGATATTTTTATTTATATAAATTAAAATTAATATATAACAAAATAATGGTAATAATAATAAATAAAATTTTATAATAATAGTAAAATATTATTACCAATAAAAACTAAATTATAATTAAAATAATAACATAATTAAAACCAATAATTTAGTTTTGTTGGTAAAATAATTTTTTGAATTTTGTTACGGAAAAATATTTCGTAGCTAGTGGACTACGAATATTCCGCAGCCAAATAGCTACGGGTTTTGATTTCGTAGTTATTTTTCTATATTGAGAACAAGTTGTATACAAAAAACTATGGTCAACATTTTCCGTAACAATCTTCGTAGCAGATTAGCTATAAAATTTTATTGTGTAGCAAATTTTCGTAGCAAAATAACTATAAATTTTAATTCCATAGCCAACTAACTATAAATTTTGATTCCGTAGCTAATTATGTAACCAACTAGCTACGAATATTGATTATGTAACAAGTTTCATAGCGAACTAGCTACGACCAACAATTTCGTAGCATATTTTGTAGTAAATTTTTTATGGATTTTGATTCCATAGCAACTTTCAGGATTTAGCTACGAAAATACAATTTCGTAGTCATTTCCGTAGCAAAATAGCTACGGACAGCCATTATGTAGCATATTTTGTAGTCAAATAGCTACGAATTTGGATTATGTAGCAACTTTCCGTAGCTATTCAAGGTTTAGCTATGGAATGAAATACTGTAACCATTTCCGTAGCAAAATCGCTACACAAACCCATTTCGTAGCATATACTGTAGTAGAATAGCTACGGATTTTGATTCCGTAACAATTTTCCGTAGCTATTTAGGATTTTTCTTGTAGTGATATATATATATATATATATATATATATATATATATATATATATATATATATATATATATATATATATATATATATATATAAACAATCTAATTTATATAAGACTAAAATTTCATTAACTTGGAAAAAAATTGCAATAATACCTAAATATTAGAAAACATATGCATTAAAAATACGAAACACGAAACACATAAAAATAAAACCTACATATTATATTTTTTTTACAATCTTGTTGTTGACCTTTAACGTCGAGTTTGCTACAGCGACTTATATCTTTCATTAAAAGTTTCATTTCACGAGTTTTTTCCTTCTCTTTGTCAACACTCAAATATTGTTTCAAACTAATTTTTTAAGTTGTTCATCTCGCTCGTCATTTTATCTACGTCACTTCAACTAGTTGCGACCCTTTTAATCTTTTGTTTTGTTTGGTCTCTTCCTATGGGATGACTATGTCTTGGAACCTCAATAGGCCTATCTTCATTGAGGTCTACCCCGACATGCACACCAAACTATTGGCAATGAGTGGTTTCGAATGTTTTGGTTCTTTTATAACCACCCGTGTATGATTATGAATTTTTGATATCTTGCCATTTTTGGACTCCTTCACAATATTCCAAAACCCAATAAATTTGAAAGTTTCTCGGTTGTGGTAACTTGGTAAAACATGTTGAAGATACGGTGGATAAACTATTGACCAATGTTCAAATCCTGGCACCACTCAGGCCATGTGGCTTTGGAGGTTCGTCTGCAGTGACTCCAGGGCATTAGACATAGCCACACGTTTGCAGTTGGGGATTAGTCGGTGGGCGAAAGCTGGTCCGGAACCCTCGTTAGGGAAGTTCCCTTACAAAAAAAAATTGCTAGAGCTTTCTTAAATATTGTTTCATCATTCGCACCACTTTGGTACTCGTGCTTCACGTTCAAGAAAACAACGTTAAACTACATGACAACTTTGTTGATGTTCCTCCACTTTGAGCATATTTGATCTTTTTTCTGGTAGTGTCCAAGCTTCATTTCGAAGAGAAAACGCTTTGAAACTTTCGAGTAAAAAGTTATCCAATCTTAGTCGTTCCTGTTAAACTTTTCAAAAATATATGTCGCCCTCGGCTTAGAAGAAGCAAAAAGTCGAGCATTTCTGTAACATCCTGTTCTGAATCGATTCCTAGTCTGAGGTTGTGGCCCGAAGATCGGTCATCATAAGGATTAGGGCTTTTGAAAAGGTAAGACTTAGGCCAATTTGGGTGCGGGTGATGCATTAGAAGTGATCCGGGTGTTCGGTTCGTATTTTGGAGCGTAGGGGTATTTTGGTAAAGTGTAAGTTCGGGCTTTTGTGGAAAATAGATTTTTGTTCGGAAGGTCTTAAGAAAGGTTTGAGTTGTTATAAGTGTAGGGCTTCTCGTAACCTTTTCGTGGATATAAGGAACGTCGGAATCGGGCTTATAACGAAGAAGTTATGGCCTTCGGAAGTTTCGTGGTTTTCAGGCCTAGCCGAGTACACGGGGCGTACACAAAGAGTACGCGGGGCGTACTAGTGAAGAAGGCAGTACGTGGGGCGTACCTTGGAGTACGATGGGCGTACTGACCAGGATGGTCGTGAATGTTCTTCGGAGTACGCTTGGCGTACCATATTTACGTTGGGTGTACGCTAGTCAGATCAGAACCCTATTTTAGGGTCCTGGACCCTACTTAAGCTCCTTATCTCATAACCTAACCCTAATATCTTCAGCCTCCACCCTCTAAAACCCTAGAAATCGTCCTTAACCATTCATGGTGGCATTTTGAGCTTATGGAGTCCATTTTCGGAGTGTTTGGCCCATTTTCAAGAAGGTGGAGTTTGATGCAAAGATGGGGATCAAGAAGAAGCTTATGGATCTGGCTTTTGTGACTCATTGTCAGCTTGATGAAGGTATAAAGCTATGAACTTGACCATGGATATCTTAGATCTCTCATTTGTGAGTTTTAGTTCATTTTGGTCCCAAGGATGAAGCTTTATGGTTAAAATCCGATTCTTAGGCTTAGGGTTGCCACCCTTGGTGCTAATTGAGTCCCTAAGACAGAAAGTTGCCATCTTGAAGGTCTTAATGGGTTCATGCAAGAGTTAAGACCATTTTTACGGAAGTAGAAGGCTATTTAGTCTTTTTGGAGCATGCAAAGGCATAAAGTTGCCAACTATATGCCTTAGGACTCATCAAATGACCTAGATTTGAGTTTGGGACGTAAAGTATTCAAGTATTAAGCATTTAATGGATTTTGTGCATAAGCTGGTTGTACGTTGGGCGTACTGTGTAGTACGCTATGCGTACAACCTTTCGCCCAGTACGCTAAGCGTACAAAAGAGGTACAATGGGCGTACCTCTCAGGAGAACTTGGGCTTTAGTGGACTTTAGACCTTTGGGCCCTAATGGTTTTGGGCCTGGATTTGCTGATAGTTGGGCCTGAATGCATCTTTGGGCCAATATTTGAATAGTTGGGCCTATTGGGTCTTGTGGCCCAATA